AGCTTTCCTTTCCTGTGGTGTGAGGTTTGAAGGAGGCGGTTTGGCACTGGAGAGGGTTGCTAATATTTTCATTCCAAGTTGTTCTGCCTCTGCTTCCATCAAGTTGTTGTTCCTAATCGTGGATTCAGTGGCCGTGCTTAGTTCCACAACAGGTATTTCTTGTGGGGAGATGGCAAAATTGTATGATAGAAGGGGAAACACTGCATAACATGGTTGGTGATGCCATGGCTAGATGTTGACAGAAAACTGGAATTCAGCGATTATCAAAGGCTCATGGAAGAATTGTGATAAGATGCAGGTGGATGCCACAGATACTGTGAAGCAAAGTTACACAAACAGAACTGAGCGCCCTGCCTACTGAAATACCCCCCCCACAAGTTCATGTTTGCAGTCATGTTCTCATTGCTGAACAGCTTTCCGTGTCAGCAGACTTAAAAAAGAAAAGGTGAAACTGATTTGAAAAGTGCTACCTACATTACATGTGAAAACAACACCCACGCGTTCCTCTCACTTTGTGTAGCATACATTCTTTGGCAACAATGACGTCAGTCAGTGCTAGTTGGCAGCACAGCAGACGCAAATTTCCAGAAAATGAAGAAGTCTTATTCAGTACAATTAGACTGCAACATTGCTCAATCTTCTACAGAAAAGGAATTTCAACATAAACATTAAAAATAAACAAAATTCTAGCAACACAGATACTTAAAAAAAATAGCCAATACCATTTACAAAATTGCTAATAAAAATGGTTAATAGGCATAAAAATATGCCCAACAGTGATAACACTGGTTTCAATCTGGCATGTTGCTGCCAATAGTTTTAAAAATATCTTTATTTTTCCAACAAATGGTACAATTTCTTAGTTACACAGTTTAGTTTATTGTCTTCTATTGAAGATAAATTATGGGTTTAATATATTTGCAGCTCATTACGTTCAGTTTTTATTTCTGTTTTACATGATGTCCCAACGTCTCATGAAAAGAGGTTGTGCTGTGGTGAGTTGATTTTGGACATGAAAAGGACAGACAGTTGACAGTTTTGTCTCCTGGTCTTTTATTAGCAGTGCGTATCAAAGTTCTCCAGCATGGTCTCAGGTTTGATGTCTGCCCTCGGACCCCCCCCCCCAGGGGTTAATATTCTGATTACCTTCAAAAATGATCTCCCATCACCTGGTTTGCTGCTCTCTCTGCCATCATTCAACAATAGGCTACCCTTGTGACGCAGTCACCCCAGAGCCTGAACTGGAGTCGTTTGGTTCTGGTTCCCACCTGCCCAAACACACGAGGTCCTTGCAGCCTGCTCCAAATGCTCCATAAGGTTTGACAGTGGGAATGGTGGTTATGGAGGACGTTGCTGAGTTACGGCGAAGAGATTTATTTGTGCTTCATCTTTAAAGTGTGTAGTTCAGTCAGCAAACTGGTTTTTAATTTTCGGCCACATTGAGAGTACAAAACAAAACACACAGCAGTAACTTTATGAAATGTTATTACTGCTGGAACTGTAAGCATTTTGTCTTTGAATGAATGAATTTGCTTCAATAAAAAATAAATTTGAATACTGCTTGATTCCACAATTTGCTATTTACGGCTCAGTGTGGTTGTAGGAGTGCGCAAAAGTTTTATTATTCACGGGAAGGTTTAATAAACCAACAAGCTGCATATTAAAAAGAAACAAGAGGCAAAATTGAATATGTTCCAATCACATGACAGCCATGTTCATAGTTTAGCCAGGTTTTAAAGTTATTAAACTCTCGGTCATACAATCAATTCAATTCAGTTTCTTTATAGTTCCAAGTTACAACAGAAGTCATCTCAGGGCATTTTACAGGAACATTCACATACAAACAGGATTCCAAAAAAGTTGGGACACTAAACAAATTGTGAATAAAAACTGAATGCAATGATGTGGAGATGGCAAATGTCAATATTTTATTTGTAATATAACATAGATAACAGATCAGAAGTTTAATCTGAGTAAATGTAACATTTTAAAGGAAAAATATGTTGATTCAAAATTTCACAGTGTCAACAAATCCCAAAGAGGAAGCCATTTCTAAACAAGCTCCACAAGCTCAGACGTTTGCACTGGGCCAGGGGTCATTTAAAATGGAGTGTGGCAAAATGGAAGACTGTTCTGTGGTCAGATGAGTCACAATTTGAAGTTCTTTATGGAACACTGGGACGCCATGTCATCCGGACCAGAGAGGACAAGGATAGTCCAAGTTGTTATCAACGCTCCATTCAGAAGCCTGCATCACTGATGGTATGGGGTTGCATGAGCGCTTGTGGCATGGGCAGCTTGCATGTCTGGAAAGGCACCATTAATGCAGAGAACTATGTTCAGGTTCTAGAACATCATATGCTCCCATCTAGATGTCATCTCTTTCAGGGAAGACCCTGCATTTTTCAACACGATAATGTCAGACCACATTCTGCAGCAATCACAACATCATGGCTACGTAGGAGAAGGATCCGGGTACTGAAATGGCCAGCCTGCAGTCCAGATCTTTCACCTATAGAGAACATTTGGCACATCATAAAGAGGAAGGTGCGACAAAGAAGGCCCAAGACGATTGAACAGTTAGAGGCCTGTATTAGACATGAATGGGAGAGCATTCCTATTTCTAAACTTGAGAAACTGGTCTCCTCTGTCCCCAGACGTCTGTTGAGTGTTGTAAGAAGAAGGGGGGATGCCACACTGTGGTAAAAATGGACTTGTCCCAACTTTTTTGGGATTTGTTGACGCCATGAAATTTGGAAACAGATTTTTCCCTTAAAATGATACATTCTCTCAGTTTAAACTTTTGATCTGTGATTTGTGTTCTATTCTTAATAAAATATTAGATGTTGGCACCTACACATCATTGCATTCAGTTTTTATTCACAATTTGTTTAGTGTCCCAACTTTTTTGGAATCCGGTTTGTACATAGAAAGGCCAACCAGTAAAGTTCTCGATCTAAAGAAGCAGCAGACTTGTTGAATCTTCACTTTATCTCAGTCTCCCATCCTGAGCAAGCACAGTGGCAACAGTGAAAAGAAAAAAAATCCCTTTTAACAGGAAGAAACCTGCAGCAGAACCAGGCTCAGGACAAGTGACCATCTGCTTCGACCGGCAGTATCGATCGATATTGTACCAGAGACCCATTCACACACATATAGTGTTAATTATGCACAAAAACAGCAATTGCTCATGTACACTCTTGTTTTTAAGAGCAGGTGCAAAATGAGGCTAAACCGCTGCAATACTGCGCTCTGATAAAGATCTGAACAATAAATCCATCTATCTACTTTCTATACCTGCTCAGTCCTGATCAAGAAAGCTCATCAGAGACTCTACTTCCTCAGGCGGCTGAGACGAGCTGGTCTGGGAAGCTCAGTCCTCACCTCCTTCTACAGGTGTGCAGTGGAGAGCATCCTGTGCTCCAGCATCAACGTGTGGCATGAAGGCTGCACAGCTGCAGAAAGAAAAGCTCTGCAGAGAGTGGTGAAGGCTGCACAGAAGACTGTTGGAGTCAGTCTCCCCACCATCACAGACATCTACACCTCCAGATGCAGGAAGAGGGCCACCTGCATCATGAAGGACCCCACTCACCCAGCACACACTTTTTGCACTGCTCCCCTCAAGAAGGAGGTTGAGGAGCATTAAGTGTAGAACCATTATACTGAGGAACAGCTTCTACCCTGAAACTGTTAGACACATGAATCTCTAACCAGAATAATCACATCACGCTGCTGCTGATCTGTTTCATGTTGTTGTGTTCATTTGTACTCATCTGCTCACACAAGACTCATGTTCGTGCTGCTGTTCGGCATAATGTTTTTGTACTACTAGTCCTTAGTGTATTTTTAGTTAACGTTTTTTTTAGGTCATAGATCTTATTATTGTTTTTTTTTTTAATATTTTATACTTTTGTTGGACGTAACTGGGACCCTGTGTACACAGTTTCATTCCACTGCATGCACCACACGTAGTGTGTATGCCAAATAAAGAAACTTCGACTTTGATCAGAACAAAATATTCAAAATCAGTCTGATGTTGGTGATGGCAGCAGCTTGGTTCAAAGGTGGCTGCAGACACTCACATGCTCAGTATGAAGCAAATAAAAACAGCACTACTGTATCAAATCAGTACTGAAGTACATTTACGGTTGAAAACCAAATGTCTATAATAAAGAAGGAAGGCTCCATCAAAATAAAGTGTGAAACAGTTCCATCACTGATTTATGACCATAAAAAGAAAATTAGAAACGTAAACATCTAAGGCTCGCTTTCGGTGTAACAAGTTGTTCTTGGCACGATTTTCTGATAGCAATCTGACGAGGCGTGTTCGTACTCAGCTGGGAACAACAACATTCATATGTCATCGTTACTTCATTGCAGCGACACACGATGAGAATACATCTCACTGTAGTTTCCCCTTTGTGTCAGCCGAGACATTTCTGTGCAAAGTTAGCATTGTCTACCAATTTCTGTGTTACTTTCCTGATGCATTTTGTGATGGAAGGGTGTAAATGTCTGTAACCACTAAAGACTACGTGTGAGGCAGATACCTTCATGTAAAACATCTCGGAGTGTTACTCTGTCCCTCGAGATTGCGATGTCTTTCACTTTTGCTTTTGCCTCTGTTAAAGTCACACTCCTCAGGTCATTCTTCTCTATTCGAAGAGATGGGTAACCTGAAAGGACAAATGAAAAATATTCACATTTGACACACATAATCCACATGACAACCACCACCACCAAGGGACTTGAGCTGCGCTTCCACTTTGATGAAGCCAAGTTGTGAAATTTTATTTATAAGAACCAAATCCTCATTTGAATTTAAATAAACACCAGTTATTACAAGAAAAAAAAATCAGAAAACTGTGCAGGAGCTTGCTCAGACGTTGCGTTAAAGCACCCTAATGCAAAGTCCTGTATTACAGCACTTTTATTACTTAACCTCCCCACGTACACACTTATCAGCTTTTAGTGAGGAAGAACAATGTTTGGATACTAAAACACAAAGTTCCCCACATGTCTACACGTAAAGGATCATTGCAAATAAGACTTCTTTATTTTCATAATGACACTTTCTATGTGGACTGATGATAATCAGCTCATGTTTCACCTCCTGTATCCACAGCCTGCAACTCAGACAGAATGAACCATGTTAGTTTAGATTACATATAGGATGTAAATAAAATCTCAACAGAAAACTCACCATGACAAAACTAAACCAAGTCAAAAACATCCAAATAACACTTTATGCACTTGTTTAAGACTTTGGGCTAGAAGCTCAAAATAACATTTTGAATTTGTCAGAAGCCAAGATCCAGATTTAATCTTAAAATAGCATTAAAAAAACAGTCAGGAAGGCTCGCCCAGAACCCAATTACTATCAAAGATAAGATGACCTGTTTATATAAAAACTGTTTTGTAATAACACAGTTCATGTCAATGCTGCCTCCTAGAGTTCATAACATGAATACCACTTACTTTTCAACCAGCACGAAACGAAGTAAATGACTGTTTAGAACAGGGTTGATGTCCAAACCTGGACCTCATGGACCAGTATCCTGCATATTTTAGATGTTTCTCTGCTCTAAAACACCTGATTTGAATCAATGGGTGATTAACAGTTTCCTGCAGAGCTTGAAGAGCCATTGATCCAGGTGTGTTGGCGCAGAAAAACAAGTAAAACATTTTATTTATTGCATTTAACCTTTATTTAAACAGGTTAGTCTAATTCATGAGGACTCATTTTCAAGAGAGACCTGTTTTAAACAGTTTTAGTACAGTACAGACAATAAAAAGGAATTAAAATAAAAACAGTGTTAGAAAAACACTGTTACTGTTAGCAGCATGGTCCTGTTAGCAGAGAGGCTCTCTTAGCAGCATGGTTCTGTTAGTGTGGTTCTGTTAGCAGTGTGGTTCTGTTAGCAGCATGGTTCTGTTAGCAGAGAGGCTCTCTTAGCAGCATGGTTCTGTTAGTGTGGTTCTGTTAGCAGAGTGGTTCTGTTAGTGAGGTTCTCTTAGCAGCACGGTCCTGTTTGCAGTGTGGTACTGTTAGCAGTGTGATCTTATTAGCAGTGAGGCTCTCTTAGCAGCATGGTTGTTAGCAGCGTGGTCCTATTAGCTGCATGGTCCTGTTAGCAGCATGGTCCTGTTAGCAGCGTGGTACTGTTAACAGTATGGTTCTGTTAGTGTGGTCCTGTTAGCAGCATGGCCCTCTTAGCAGAGTGGTTCTGTTAGTGAGGTTCTCTTAGCAGCACGGTCCTGTTTGCAGTGTGGTACTGTTAGAAGTGCGGTTCTGTTAGTGGTGTGGTCCTGTTAGCAGTGTGGTCTTATTAGCAATGTGGTTCTGTTAGCAGAGTGGTCTTGTTTGCAGCATGGTACTGCCATGTGGTCCTGTTAGCAGTGTGGTCCCGTTAGCAGCATGATGGTAGTAATGACTGTGACAACGGACAATGAAAACATTATGAAAACATGCAGGATAGCTAGAAACCCATGACTTAGACAACTAGAGATGCTGCACAGAGTGGATCTAGTTGAGGCAGCTGCATAAACAAAAACTAGGGAACAGTAACGTGCATAAAGGATTGCATTCTGTTCATTGTTAGCCAACATTTAGAGGCACACAGATTTGGGAAAATATGTTTAAACATTGAAAAAGAATATGTAGTTCCTCAAGCCAAACCATCTCCAGCTTGATGGACAACATAGCTGTGGTTCTGAATGTACTCTGTTGAATCTCAATTCAATGCTTTACAAACACTGCAGTATGAGCGTAAATAAAATGCAACATAAAAAAATGCTTTAAACAAACTACTACTCTGTAATTCAATTCCCTAACGTTCTTCCACAATAAATTAGGTATTCTCTGGAGCTGAAAAGCCCCACTCACGCTGGATGGTGACACCCACTATGGAATAAAAAGTATACCAGAATGTTGATGGTCTTTGCTTGGTGAGATCTTCAGGCTTTTATTTAGAACACATGCAAGAGAGGTCCACGGTGGTTTCAAGCATGCACAAAACTTCCATAGCAAGGACATGGTGGTTTATCATTGTAGCGACTAGAGCCCAACCAATATATTGGTAGGGTCAATATTTTAGGCCGATATAGACATTTGGAGACCTATCGGTATCTGTGATAATTGTCCCATGATGCACCAATATAAACACTTCTAATTTTCACCCTGAAATGCCTGGAACCAGTTGTAATTGTACACTGTATCCAGCAGAGGGCGCATGAAGACTACTTTCAAGTGATGGCTGATCATTTTAAGTTTCATGTTCAGCACAGACGAAGCAGGGAGCAATACAGTGTAGTGTATTTTGCTGAACAGAGCACGGAAAGTTTATTAGAACTGATCTGTAAAACAAATCAACAAAAATAAATTATCTTCAATCCTCCAACCCAGTTGTCATTAGCTACGTGCTTCACAATTTAGCAAGCCAACGTTTAGATCAGCTAGCATAGACTTGTGAAACTTTATGCAGAACAATAAATCTAACTTAGAAGTAAAATATATCAGTGTTAGTAACGTTATCTTTGTCGTCCTCACTGAAACGTGTTGTTTGTCTGAAATCTTAACTTCTCTGAAAAGAAGAACAGAAAAGCCGCTGCTGCAGTCAGTACTAACTAAACCCCCACCATACGTGACTGACAGCTTAAACAATGAACAGGGAAGGGTGTTTCTTTGTGTAAATTTATATTTATGAAACACACTTGATAACTTTCTGATGAATAATGAGGATAGAAGATGTGAACGCACGTTAGGAAGACTGTTTTTATGACTAGGGCTCCACTTGTAAACCTAGACTGGGTCTATGTAAAGTGTGGATCTGACTAGCTTAGCTTCATGGTTGCTAACAGCTGCGTTAAATAAACAAGACCTGCTCCACTCGCTGTTTTTTTTTTATTCTTGGAGTGGACATAGCTCAAAAATGTTCAGCCATTATATTGGTTATTGGCATTAGTCATACTCTTCCAATAACAGCGATAGGCAAAACTTCCATATCGGCCGGGCTCTAGTAGTGGCAGCATATCAGGGTCCTGGGTGGATCCTGGTGCAGGATAATTATTACTCATGCATTGGTGAGGCTTGGTAAGAGAATATGAAGCAGGACTGACCATGCTGGCCTCATGCCTGGGCTGTGACTATGATTGTGACAAGATCCTTGTTACAACTTAGCGCAGACATCTTACCCATAGCTACCTCCTGATGTGATCGGAATCTGAGATTGAACCCGAAGCCTCGGGATTACACAACCTCAACACGGACCACAGAGTTATTGAAGCCCCCTAAAACATCTTCAGTAGTACTATCCCTTTAAACCACCCATCCCACGAGATGGTACTTAACCTTGTTGGTCATTGATCTGTACTAACCAGGTCACAGGATATTAATGCAAACAGGAACAGTGCTTAGAAAAGCAGTGCTGAGCGTTGAAAAGGAAGTGACGAGACTTATTTATCTCTGTCTGCATTGAACTTACTTTTGTTTTCATGAGGGGGAGCACCTGGGTTTTGGAAGGAGGAGGCAGCAAGCTGGAGAATGGGTGCAGAACCAGGGTGATTGTCTGATGAGGAGGTGGAGAGCAGGGAGAGGAAGGGAAGGAGAAACAAAGCTGTTTGAATAAATAGCTCACAGAACAACATGACCTGAATGAACGAATGTAACTCTTGTTTTAAATGTTCAGCTTATTCAGAGTCCTCCATTACAACAGGCATGCTTGTAAGTTGAGTAAACTTCCCCATCAAAGTGTTGGGTTTATGAAAGGGAGCAGATGGTGGTTTAAAAGCACAGGAGTAAGACAAAGAAAAGGCAAATGGGTGACACTAAATGCACAGAGGGTGATGTGCAGGTTTTAGCCACAAGAGGGCAGTGTCAAAAAGGCAAAACAAAGTCATGACTGCTTTCTAGAACCACAAACACAACAAAAAAAGTTTTTAATTTACAGTCAGGCTCCGTTGTTACTTATATTAGGACAGTTAAACTGCTAACCTTGGGACTGATATATCATCATTCTCATCTAAGTTTCAAAGAGCCATTTTTCAGGATCCTCAGTAACAAATGTTAAATTTGATCCAACAGCAGGGTGAGATTCTCTGTATTCAGTGTTTATTCTGATTGTTTTTAGAGCTGATTAGACATCAGCACAGCTGTAAATGTTCTGCATACTGCTCAACTGAGATCACCATCGTTTACCACGCATCCATAGTAAGACCCCAGTGACCACTCAACTGAGATATGACTGCTCTAAATGCATTTTAACGTCAAGTGAGAACTCGTGTACTTTCATCTATGTTGTGTAACTGCTAGCAGAGTAACACGTGTGGATGCAAAATGAACCGCGAGACACAAACTTGTAAGATGTCCTGTTTCTTACACAATCTATGAGCACAGCAAAAATATCACTAATGAGTTTTTAGGTGCCAAAAGTAGTTTTAAATCTTGTCTAATGGAGTTCATTAGTTCATCAGCTACAGTCCTATTTAAAACGAGACCCATACAGGAGTGAAGTGGTGCTGGCCTCAGTTCTGTAGCTGAAAGGTCTCATTCAGACCTACTTAGAAGCTCCTGATGTTTATTGTTTAAAAACAAGAACACAACAACCAATAGTGGTTTGTTTAAATTTAGCACTCTGTTTAACCTTATTACTGTATGCAAACCTTTCACAACTTATTCTAAAATTGCATGGAATTAGTGCTGATCCCTTCCTGCCATTTCCAGCATAAAAGACGCCTTTTCCTTTAATTGCTGCCTGATGTAAAGCACATGGTGATGTTCTCCACACAGCTCAGACACCAACAGGAGCAGCACAAACACAACATCTCTGCAGGGGCTGTGTTCTTCATTACCATCTTATGATACTCGTTAGTGTTTTTTACTTTTCCTTCTGCAGGGGTCGACACAAAGAGCAAAACTAACATGAAGCATTTGATGCAACCTGGGTTACCATCTTATGATACTAATAAAGCTAATTAGGTATTCAGTTAAGTAAAGAATTTCACATTAGCATCTGCTGATTCCAGAACAAAAAGAGTGAGAGAAAAGTGTCACAGAATGGGGTTTTAAAGGGATATTCTGGCAAGTTTGAAGTGGGTTGCGTATAAAATTTATGAGCAAATAGCTTTGAAACCTCGTCTCAGTATGGAGGATTAAAGTTAAATTCTGAATGGACTGATAACAGTGAGTCTGAATGCAGCAAAGACTAAACAAAGCTGATCATAAACTCATAGGGGTTTATCGTTCTATTTTGATTGAAGTTTTTATACAACAGCAATTCTGTTAGCTCAATAGTCCTGTCAAAATAATTTTTCTCCAAACAGAGCATTTAACAAGTTATCCACAACAGGTTAGATAATGACTGGTCATAACATTTGAAAATAACCTCATTTAAATCTCTTCAAAATAGGCATATATGAGAACTTCTGTGTAAATAAAATATATTTTCATTTAGGTACAGTCATTCTGACAGGATGTGATGGAGTGGAGAGATGAAGAAAATAAAGAGTCTTACTGGTGACAGAAGCTGCGTTGTTTGGAGTATCAGCCCTCAGGTACTGCGTGGTCTGAGTGGACGGCTGAGACAGGCCCTGTGAGCTCCCACTGTCACTCACACTGACACACACACACATGCACACACACACAAAAATAAGCAGTTCTTTGAAAGTGAAGCTGCAAATGATAACTGCTTGAATAGTTTTTGTATGAATCAAATCCCAGTTCCTTAATTCATACTACTTAGTTTCAAACAAGTGATGTTGAATAAAAGCTCTCTGACAAAGGCTGCAAGTGGTTTTAGATTATGAACTTTATTTTTTGTCAGGAATAAATCACCATTTAATAATTTCTTTAATAGTTAGTTAAGATGTTAACATGTTCCATTCAGACAAATCTTTCCTAAATGCATTGACAATGAAAGTAGGAATAAAAATGTATTTAAAAATGCAGCAAGAAATGAGCTTGGAATGGACACCACAGCCTTCTGTTATGGTTGGGCTCATTTCCACCATCAGCACACAGATGTTCTGTGGTGAACATGTTGGTGAACACAGACAGAGTTATGAAGTCGTAATCAGCAGCAGCTGTCAATCAGTATTGTAGAGTGAGATATCATGCATGTTCAAGAATCTAATAAAGATTTATTTCATAATAAATTTATCTTTGTTCTTTATGTTGCAGCAGTCCCAGCTGAATGCACACAGCTCAAAAACTTCACTTTTGTTTTCTGTAACTACAGAGAAGATCATGAAATCTGATCCACATCAAAAGCATCATATTGTGTATATTTGAATAAAACTCTTTTAACCTTTAACTTTATGACTATTCATGTTCCTCAGGGGGAAAATCTACCACCTTATTTACCTACTTTAAAATATCTGTTTAAAATATTTGTTCCACAAAAATCTAGTCATTTGTTTTGAGCCGTCTCAGTCTGAAATAAAAGAAGGATGCTTGGTTCTGTTGGCCCAGTCAGAGAGGTTCTGACCCGCCTCCTCTGCAGAGTCAGACTTCCAAGTGGGGCTTTGTCCACCATTCCTCTCGTTCCTCTTCTAAAACAAATCCTGGTCATCCTCTTCATCATCTAAGTCTTCTCTGTCTGACTCAGACTGTTGTTCTCCTTCATGATCCTCTCCTCTGCCTGAGAGGTTCTGACTCTGTGGTTCTGTTCTCCTCTGGGTCCACAGCTCCATCGTTCTCACGTTCAAAGAACGCCTCATTGTTTCGACTCAAACACTAAAACTGACTAAAAGCTAAACTACACCCTAACTGTTGAACCCAAACAAGCTAAAAATCAGAAATCTCTCAAACCTCATGACTCACTCCTGCTCTCACTGTGTCTTTATGGCGATGAACTCCGTTCAGCTTCTGCGTCTTTCTCTTCTTCTTCCTGTAGATTTTTTGGCGCTCAACAAATAACTTTGAGCCTCCGTCAGAAAGGAGGTGAAGGTTGTTTATCTGTTCGACAGGGTGGGAGGTGACAGTGGAGGATGATGGGGGTGTTTTGTCCCGAGACTGCCCGTCTTTGCAGCAGCCTCTCGCTCTAACGTGCTTCAGTTATGATGATGATTTTCAAAAAAAGACGTGGCGTGGATTATTTACCATAACTCTGGTTTGACTTGACATAACAACAAGATTTAAAATCTGTTGTGAAGTTTGAACTTTTGATTCAAATTAAAACAGAGTCTCTGAAAGGCTGGGTCTTTCCTGCTAGAGCGATTGAAATCAGTCATGTGACTATCATGCGTCGGTATGTCGATCGACTCCAAAAGGAAATAAATAAATAAAATAAATCGTCAGTCAGAGTAGGCAGCAAAATCACTGCCTACCGCCTGTTACTGAGAAGGCAGCACCAGGCAGTTTTTATTTGGTTGGCTATGTCTGGTGATCTTCCAGTCCAATGTTGATAAATCTAATTTTTTTCTCCTCTCTCTCTCAGTTTGCCTTTGGTGTTAATACATTTTATATTTAAATAATTATTATTAACAGCTGTAAGGATGTGTAGCAACAATAAAATGAATGAATGACTAAACAATCCAGTAGCTTTAACATAACCTTCAATATCAAATAACATTTTAGGCAATACAGAGACATTGACAAACAAGAAAAAAAATTGTAATATGTCGGCATTTTATGTTTTGAAGTGTTAATGAATAGTTTATAAATTAGATTTACTGTAATAATATTCAGTTGGGTGTTATTTGTTCAATCCTTTTGTCTAATAATCTGAAGGATATCATGAGTACATTTTTAGTGACAGAGAGTGAAAGCTCAGTAAAAGTAAAGATGTTTTTGGAGGAAATCTTGTTTTTATGTTAACATATTATTATGAACAGTCTATTTTTTTGTTCTTCAAATAAACGAGAATTTAGGAGAAAAATTCTTGGATGAAACACTGAGGCTGAGTGTAAAAACTTCAGAATATGCAGGAAAATCTGAAGATTAAAAAATATCTAAAGATTAAAAAAACACCAAAAAAACCCCAGCTTTATTAAATATCAGCTGCTCGTTTACAGCCAGTAGATCAAGTTCAACTGGACTTTATTTCTGTTTGAAAATTTAAGTAAAATCTGTTTGTAAGTTGTTTTTCCTTTTTTACTTTATTAATGTCCACAACCTGCTTTACAAGAAAAAAACAATCTACTTTTTTACTGAGGCCAAATGATCATTTCTATGGCAGGGGTAGACATGAGTCCAGCAGACAACCTCTTAAGAGATTCTGGTTGTTCTCCTCAATAGACTGCAAGAAGTGAACTTGTTAAATAAATAAATACTAGCGTATTTAAGGCGACGATTATAGTAGAAAAGAATCATTTGACTGAACGTTTTTCTACACCTAGAGATTACGCAAACTTGCCTCTCTCTCAAACTCAGTTTGGTCACGCACGCAAGTTGGACATAACGATGAGGACAGTGCTCCGAACACATTAACATTATTTTATGGTTTTTTGTACTTTAATTACAAAATATCCTCGGCAACAGGTAGGTGAAATAGAACTAGTTCACAAACAAATTGAAAGTACAAGCTTTCCTACAAGTACCTCATCTGCGTCTCAAATCATGAGTCCACCAATTGTCCACTAATGATGTCCACAAGAACTAAACGTCTTGTCAAAGATCCAAAATTCACGGTTGAAACCCGTGCCTTTGTGTAAAAAGATGTTTTTCTCTGCAAAAAGAAGCTGAGAACTTGTTTACTGATTTTTTTATTACAAACTTTGTGTGACAAATGTTATGCTAAAGAGCTCAAACCACACTGAGCGTCTGCCATTCTGAGAACCAAAGAGAGACAGCCCATGTCACGTCAAGGGGCCTCCCTCCCATTTTTCTTACAGAGACACGCCGCTCGCTCCCTCACTATCCAACCTTCGGTTCAATCGGTCTTATACTGCCATCTCGTGGTCAAAAAAGGTACTACATGTAAAACAAATGAATAATTTCTTCTTAAATTTGACAATAATTACTAATTATTGTCAAATTTCAAACAATATTATTGTTTATTGCAATAATTTCTGAGGCAATTAATCGCCCAGCAAGCTTTGTTATTGTGACAGGCCTACAATCAATATTTAATCTAATAAGCAGATTTTCAACCTAATAAATGATGGTTGATGGCTGAATCAATTAATATATCTGAACTTTAACAACAAAATGTTGTGTAAATAAAATGTCTTTTATTCAGTGTGTTGCCGATAATGTATTTTTTTAAGCTCACTTTGCATTACTGTAACTGTGATAGTTTGTGCTATCAGACAAACTAAGTTTCTGAAAGCTGAGAACTTGCACTTTAGAGCCATTATAGGCTCTAAATTACGACAACTCGTGAAACAACCCCTCTGAAACCAGAAGAAGGTAAAGAGTCCAACCTGTCCTCCGTCTCTACTCTCTTGACACTGTGCAGGTGAAGGATGGCCAGGATAATGGCAATGAGAAAGATGACAATGCAGCAGACGCTCACACTGATGTAGAACACCTGGGTGGAGGTGGTTGGGGTGGGCACGCCATTAACTGATTAAAAAAAACAAAAAACATAACTCACATTAACAAAAGAGCAAATCTGACAAATGGAACATTGGTACACTACAAAAGCTTAAAGTGTGTTTCTGTTCTGAGAGAGGCAGAAAATAAAATCTGAGGTAAGACATGAAAAAGAAAACAGCTCATGGGACAGAAACTGTAAATCCATCTGGGGCCCCTCTTAGTTTTAATAGAGGCCAAAATTGTATTAGCTCTGCCCAGAAATCAGTGTCTGAAAGCTTTTCTCATCACCTCCATAAAAGGCTCTGGGGGGCCCCAAGACCCTCTGGTCTAGCCAAGCAGAAGGGACTCACGACCACTAATGGTACTTTGTTACTCAAGCTGCACACTCACAGAGTCTATATGGATAAAACACTGAGGGGTGGGGGTCTGACAAGGTGCAGCCTGAAGGATCCACTTTAGGCTCAGAAAATATCTTCTTATAGACGGTTTGACTACAGTGGACTAAACACAGAGACATCTTATAATTTAGCAAGTCTTCTCAGGCTGAAGACACATGTGATAGACGGTACATAAACATGACAAGAGGATAAAAACAGCAGATAGTGGCAGTGAGACGACTTACAGCCTGTCGGCAGAACGGTGTTATTGTTGAAGGGAACGGGTATCTTTGGGTCAGAATCTATTCCTGTTTGAAAAGAAAAGTAAATGTTATTAAATTTAGTTAATGTCAGAGGTTTAAGATAATTATTCAAACCATGAAAGTAATAAAAACACGCAACGCTGAACGATAGCACCAGATCTGGCAAAGAGTGGTCCAGTATCTAATTGGAATTTTGCCAGCAGCTTATTGGTGTCTACAGAAGAAAAAGAAGACAAAAATAAAACTAAAATAATCTTCAGATCAAACTCTGGACATTAACTGAAACATTAGTAGGGAGGTTTGTATATATTTGAGCCTGAATGCATAATTTTGAGAAAATCCACAATAAATTCAAACTTGAGCACCTTTTAATTTTTTTATTGTTGAAGTTGTGAAAAATTTCATTCTAGAAAAAGAACTGTTCAAACAAACCAGTAAAACGCCCACATTTAGATGAAATTTATGTTCATGGTGAGTGTATATAAACTTGTGACCACAACTGTGCAGCAAATATAGATAAATATGGAAACAAAATATAGAAATATCCATACAGTTTTACTTTGTTTTAATTCATTAGAAAGACTCATCATTTTAAAACTTTATGGTTTAAACTCAATGGTGGCTACAGACCAAAATAGGATTTGTGAATTATAAAAAAAATAAATAAAAATAAATCATTAAGTTCCAAATGTGTAATGAAAAACTAAATGCCCACTATTTTTGTGCACTGTGAGCTATTACTGGAACTATTCATCACAGGAGTCATTCCTCAGCTTCCACTCAAACATTACTCAAACATACAAAGAAGCCATCCAAGCTACCATTTGAACTGAAGGGTAAAATAAAACATGAATACATATGTTTCCACAGAGCCTACAGGAAGAGGACTCTGCATGGATAATGTCTCGATTTTCTCAGTTATTATAGAACATCTTGATTATAAAAAACGTGTGATAAACTGATATTTCTTAAAGGCTCAGCATTATCTTAACCCAACAATGAAAGCATAAATCCACTGCAGTTTTTCAATCTGTCTAATTATTTGCACAAGGGACCTGCTAACAAGATCTGCTAAAGCTGCTAACTGCACCAAGCCGCTAACTGCACCACGCCGCTAAATGAACCACTCCGCTAACAGTATCATGGAGCCAACTGGACCATGTCGCTACGATAACTTCACCGTCATCACACTCGACCACTAAATACCAGTTTATGTTAGTTTAGTTTATGTTAGTACTCGCATTAAGCATGTACATTGTAGTCAAACAGAACCTATGAGAATTGTGATGCTGTTGTTTGATGTATTGTTTTGCATTATTAGTGACTGGCATATATCTTAGATCTTTTAGCGTACTGTTTGGCGTTCGTTTTGTGTGTATCTTAGTTTATATCTTAGATTCTTATTTACCGTTTCTTTTTACACTTTATATTTTTGCTATTGTTTGATGTAACTGGGACCCTGTGTACACAATTTCGTTCCACTACATGTACCACATGTGATGCGAACAACAATAAAGAATCTCCGACTCTTGTTTTTGCAATTATTTAGAGCAGAGGTCACCAACAGGCGGACCCGAGTCCAGATTCGGAACAAAATGATTTCTCATGCAGACCCGAACCTTTAAGGGGCCGTTTACATGGCGCGTATTTTGAGTGAATCCGCACCTTTCTCTCTGCAGTTCGGCTGTTCATTTACACAAACCAGTCGCCCCCCTCTCTTTGAATCTGGAGGTTTTTCAACCCACCTCAGAGTGGAGGTTTTCGAGGCGGCCACATGCCGCTGATTGATTTATCGCGACAACATAAATAAATAAATAAATAAATAAATAAATAAATATATATATATATATATATATATATATATATATATATATATGTATATATGTATGTATATATACGCAGTGAGGGAAATAAGTATTTGAACACCCTGCGACTTTGCAAGTTCTCCCACTTAGAAATCATGGAAGGGTCTGAAATTTTCATCTTAGGTGCATGTCCATTGTGAGAGACATAATCTTTAAAAAAAATCCAGAAATCACAATGTAAGATTTTTTAATAACATATTTGTATGTTACTGCTGCAAATAAGTATTTGAACACCTGTAAAAATCAATGTTAATATTTGGTACAGTAGCCTTTGTTTGCAATTACAGAGGTCAAACATTTCCTGTAGTGTTTCACCAGGTTTGCACACACTGCAGCAGGATTTTGGACCATTCCTCCACACAGATCTTCTCTAGATCAGCCAGGTCTCTGGGCTGTCGCTGAGAAACAGAGTTTGAGCTCCCTCCAAAGATTTTCTATAGGGTTTAGGTTTGGAGACTGGCTAGGCCATTCCAGAACCTTGATATCCATCTAACGGAGCCACTCCTTTGTTATCCTGGCTGTGTGCTTCAGGTCATTGTCATGTTGGAAGACCCAGCCACGACCCATCTTCAATACTCTAACTGATGGAAGGAGGTTGTTCCCCAAAATCTTACAATACATGGCCCCGGTCATCCTCTCCTTAATACAGTGCAGTCGTCCTGTCCCATGTGCAGAAAAACACCCCCAAAGCATGATGCTTCCACCCTCATGCTTCACAGTAGGGATGGTGTTTTTGGGATGGTACTCATGATTCTTCAGCCTCCAAACACGTCGAGTGGAATTAAGACCAAAAAAAAAAAAAAAAAAGACCAAAAAGTTCTATTTTGGTCTCATCTGACCACATAACTTTCTCTCATGACTCCTCTTGATCATCCAAATGGTCATGGGCAAACTTCAGACGGGCCTGGACGTGTGCTGATTTAAGCAGGGGAACCTTCCGTGCCATGCATGACTTTAAACTATGACGTCTTAGTGTATTACCCACAGTAACCTTGGAACCAGTGGTGCCAGCTCTCTTCAGGTCATTGACCAGCTCCTCCCGTGTAGTTCTGGGCTGATTCCTCACCTTTCTTAGGATCATTGATACGCCACGAGGTGAGATCTTGCATGGAGCCCCAGTCCGAGGGAGATTGACAGTCATGTTTAGCTTCTTCCATTTTCTAATTCATTCATTCAACCTTTATTTAGACAGGTAAATCTCATTGAGCCTCGAGGACTCATTTACAAGAGAGACCTGATTACAACAAAGAATGATGACAACAATGGACAACAGTGACAACAATAAACAGTTATAAAAAGTCATACTCCAGTGTTCTTTTTAAAAAACAAAAACAAATAGGATGGCTAAAAGAAAAAGGTAACAAAAAACAGCTAGATTCTAAGGCAAATGTAGAAAACTAAAAACATGAACATGTCTGCATTGGTCCCTGCCAGTAGTCCAACAGATTCTTAAAGTCACTTAGAGAGGTCAAGGTCGAGAGCTTCAGATCTTTTTGTAAGGTATTCCAGGAAACAGGAGCGGAGCAGGAGAAGGCCCTTTTGCCTAGTTCAGTCCTCACTGAGGGAACACTGCAGGTAATAATGTCCTGACAGCACACGCTGTAGCTGCACTCACACAGACATGTAGGAGGAGATGTATGAAGGCAGCAGACCAAGAAGTGATTTAAAGATGAAAATGTACCAGTGAGAGAGTCTGCGTGAAGTTAATGATGTCCAGTTAACCAGTGAATACAGGGTGCAGTAGTGGGTACAATAATCACAGCCAGTTATGAATCTTAGTGCACCATGATAGACAGCATCCAACATCTGCAGGGTTCTTGTAGGAGCGTTCATGTAAATAATGTCACCGTAATCAATGGAGGGAAGGAAAGTCACAGATACAAGGCGTTTCCTAGCATTCAGGGTTAGACAGGATCTGTTTCTGAAAAAGAAATCCAGTTTAACTTTCAGTTTCTTTACCAAGTTTTCCACATGGAGCTTAAAAGAGAGATGCGAGTCGACCAAGATACCCAATATTTATAGGAATCAACAAACACAATGGGGACACCATTTGAGGATGAAATCAGAGGAAGAACTGCTGGGACCAACTTCATATTTAAAAAAAGTATCCCTTTGATTTTGTCGGCATTTAGGACAAGTTTGAGATGGAACAAATCTGTCTGGATGTTATTGAATGCAGATTTCAAAAGCTGGAAAGCCTTATCAACTGTTTTAGCTCGACAATAAACAACTGTCATCAGCATAGAAATGTATGGATGCATTAGGGATGTTTTTACCTACATTATGTATGTAGATTGTAAAGTGGGTGGGTCCTAAGACTGAGCCTTGTGGCACACCATTGTTGACTGTTAAATAACTGGAGGAAGTACCATTATGTTGAACACATTGCCTCCGGTCTGAGAGATAGTTAGAGAACCAACCAATGGTGTGTTCTGAGAAACCGATTTCTGAGAGTTTATGACACAAGATGTTATGATCCACAGTGTCAAAAGCTTTGGACAGGTCTAAGAAAAGTGCAGCACAATAATCCTTAGTATCCAGTGCTTCAACGATGTCATTAAGAACCTTCAGTGAAGCAGTGGTTGTGCTGTGTTGCTTCCTGAAACCAGATTGATGTGGAGGTAAGATGTTAAATGAGTCCAGGTAATCTTTGATTTGAGAGTTTATCAGTTTTTCTAGAACCTTGGCTAAAATGCAGAGTTTAGAGATTGGTTGATAGTTGTTTAGTGAGATGGGGTCACCTCCCTTCAGTAAAGGAAGAACAAAGGCTGTTTTCCAAGCGTCTGGAATGGAGTTTTGGTTTATGGAGAGATTGAAGATGTGGGTCACTGGGACTGTGATGATATGAGCAGCCAGCCTTAAGAAATGAGGTGGAAGTTCATCTGGACCTGCAGATTTTTTAGGATCAAGATCTTTTAACAGTTTATTGACCTCACTAACTGAGAACGGAGAAAAAGAGAAGCTGTGTTTAACTGAGGATTGACTTGTAGAAGGGATTTGATTTGTAGAAGTTTGGTTATTAAGTGAAGTGGCTGATTTTCCATTAGTGACTGTGTCAAATAAAGAACTAGATGCAACAAAATGTTTGTTGAAACATTTCAGAATCTCGTGCTTATTTGTCAGGAACAGAGTTAACGAGAAGTTGTGATGGGAGGTCAGATGATTGGGTGGTGCCTGAGA